TCTCTCTCTCTCTCTCTCTCTCTCTCTCTCTCTCTCTCTCTGACACACACACAGAGACATATATATATATATATATATATATATATGTATGTATATATATGTATATATGTGTGTGTGTGATATTTTTATATATACATACACACACACTCTCGCTCTCTCTATATATATATATATATATATATATATATATATATATATATATATATATATATATATATATATATATATATATATATATATATATATTATGTTGAACAAAAAGATTTATTCAACTAGAGTTTTCTTGTTTTGACACATTAAAATATGTCGCTAAGAAATAATTACTTTTTTGTGGCAACAGACCGAATTAAAAATATTCATTAGTTTTTAGCCCTGTATTAGTCTAAAATTTTATTCAAAATAGTCTTAAAAAGGGTCTTAAAAAGTTTTAAATTTCACTTGATTTTACCTGCAGAAACCCTGTCTAATAGTATTTTCTGTAAATCGAATTGTCTGTTTTTGATTGTTTGTTTTTGATGAACTAAAATATAATAATTTCATAGATATAATCAGACTACAATGATAAAAAATACATAGTTTCCATTACAAATAGCTAATAAAAATATGAACCATCAACCTTTAACACTAGTGTTCTATGCGTTCCATGCTTTCTAGTGTGTTTGGGTGCATATTCCATTAGGAGTTTGTGGTTTTAACCTAGACCCATAGGCACCATTACAGTTTCCATTATAACAAGAACAATTGCTGTTATAATAACCATAAACTAATACCAATTCTATGAAGTCTTCTAGCTTTAAGCAAATCCGAAACAAGATTTAACATTAAAAAGTTAGTTTTTGTTAATATTTGTTGCATTTAACCAATATAAGATTTGAGTGTGATGTTGCAAGTTAGTGCAACACATATTTGATTCAACTGTGTTACTTACATAGTGTGAAACAATAATATAATCAACCCTTATGAAAAACGTATCATCCCTTCTGAAAAAAATTCACTGAAGTTTTTTATGGTCTATAAATAACATTCAAATCAAACCATCAAATTTGAACCAATAAATCCAGTACGTTTGAATGTTTTGGGGTCATTAAGATTCAATGCTGTAGCACCAAATAAAAGGATAAAAATACCAGTACAAACCCACAGGGTCAGTAGAGTTTTCATAAAAAAATATATATATAATTTTCATTAAAACCATTACAAATTCCATGATGATTTATTTTTCATTTTTATTTGCATCATGAATAGATTTATAAAAGTGTAGTAACCATGTTTTGGGGCAGATTTGCTATAAATACTGTGGTTAAACTATGGGATGATTAGGATAATAAACCATGTTTGTTTAGTTTTATTTGTTAAAAAATACAGATAAATTACGTATTTTCCACCAACGTACCTGTCTGTACCACACATATGTTGTCAAAACCTGGTTCTTCTCATCCTGTGTGGCACACAAAATCACATTCAGAAGAATGAACTTCAAAACCAACAACAAATAAATTAACATATCAAATAGACCTCAACCCACCACATTGAGAATGGCATAAACCATAAGGTCAATTGCCACCGTCGTTGACTGCCTCCAGTCGCGCACAGGTCGAACTCCTTTTTTATATCCGGCACTTAAAAACTCATTTAGCCGAACCAGAGTGGCATTGGCGAAACGCCCAGTGTTATTGCCAAGCTTCTTCACTACACCAAGATAAACCATTGTCACTTTCACTTCAGAATTGAACATTCAGTGCTATCTTTAATACATGAATCCATGTCAATTAATGTTATTGACTGATTGTGTATCAAAATCTGTCAAGTCAAACAATAATAACTGTCCAAATGCTATTTGTTTACAATTTTTTGTTGTTGTTTACATTCATTTATTGATAACACAATACCAATGACAATGATTGCCGTTAATTAAATGATTGTCATAATTTTCTGCTGAGATACCTAGAGAGAACATTTTTAGTCTTCAAAATCGAATAGCTACGCACAATAAGTTTTAAGCCACAAGATTTCAGTTATCAAATTGAAATTTTTATGCATATATGCTGTGATCATTTGTTTTAAGCCTCAAACGTGAACTGTTTGTTAAACGTGTCAATAGAAGCAAGTATAAGAAAACTTACCTGAGCAATCCACCACTGTGCCATACATGCATATGCAGAGAGCTGTCCAGAGTGCTGAACTTCTCATTGTGCTGAGCGATTCGCAGTTGCTCTATAACTGTTCTTCTAGCCTGGTGCTGCTTCCATCCAGTGATGCAGGCTGAACTCCATTAGTTACTTATCTCTGTGCTTTCCATAAGCGCTCAGGATGTGTCATTACAGCACTTAAACCACCCTCCCTCCTCTGCACCAATATCCTACAGCCGAGGTCCAAAGCACTTCAGTGCGTCCCAAGAGTCACATTACAGAGATTTCACTATAGGCTAGGCCTATATAAGCATGACAAGCATTGTTTACTCAATGGAGAACTAACAGGGGATAGCTATTTCTTATTAATATTAAATTGTGATTTGGAATAATTAACAACACTTTAGTTTGGGCACTAGTTCTCACTATTACCTACTTGATAATTAGCGGAATATTGGCTGTTCATTATTTCCGATTATTCTGCGTGACCATATTTTATACAATTAATTTCATCCCTATATCAAACTAATATTACACAGCCTTCTGGAATACTTGATTCTGATCGATTGAGCATGAAGCCACGTTATATAAGGGATAAAGGACATCCAAGCAGTAGATATCGCGGAATAAAGCTTGAAAGATGTGAAGCAAACTTACTGCCTGGGTGTACTTTATTCGGTATATGTCACAGCTATTTGTAAATGTAAATATTAGACCCATATAGTAGCATACACTCACCAGCCACTTTATAAGGTACAACTGTCAAACTGCTTGTTAACACAAATTTCAGCCAATTACATGGCAGCAACTCAGTAGTCAAGTTGATCTGCTGCAGTTCAAACTGAGCATCAGAATGGGAAAGAAAGGTGATTTAAGTGACTTTGAATGTGACATGGTTGATGGTGCCAGACGGGCTGGTCTGGGTATTTCAGAAACTGCTGATATACTAAGATTTTCACACACAACCATCTTTAGGGTTTACAGAGAATGGTCTAAAAAAGAGAAAATATCCAGTGAATGGCAGTGCAAATGCCTTGTTAATAGCAGAGGTTAGAGGAGAATGGCCACACTGTTTCAAGCTGACAGAAAGGCAACAGTAACTCAAATAACCACTCCTTGCAACCGGGGTATGCAGAAGAGCTTCTGTAAACACACAACGCGTCCAACCTTGAGGTGGATGGGCAACAGCAGCAGAAAACCACACCAGGTGCCACTCCTGTCAGTTAAGAGCAGGAAACTGAGGCTGCATTTCGCATAGGCTCACAAAAATTGGACATTAGAAGTCTCGATTTCTGCTGCAACATTTGCATGATAGGGTCTGAATTTAGCATTTACAACATTAAACCATGGATCCATCCTGCCTTGTATCAGCAGTTCTGTCTGTTGAGGGTGTAATGGTGTTGGGGATATTTTCTTGGCACACTTTGGGACCATTAGTACCAATTAAGCATGTGTGTCAACGCCACAGCCTACCTGAGTATTGTTGCTGACCCTGTCCATCCCTTTATGACCACAATGTGCCTATTTTCTGATGGCTACTTCCAGCAGGATAACGCGGCATGTCATAAAGCTCGTATGAGTTCACTGTACTCAAATGGCCTCCACAGTCACCAGAACTCAATCTAATAGAGCATATGTTGGAACGGGAGATTCACAACATGGAAGTGGAGCCGACAAATCTGCAGTAACTGCATGATGATATCATGTTAATATGGACCAAAATCTCTGAGGAATATTTCCTGTACCTTGTTGGATCTATGCCATGAAGTATTGAGGCAGTTCAATTTCTAATAACATTCCATAAAAAGAAAAAAAACAAGCACAAATTAGTATGTTTATTTGAGGTTAATAGTCATGATTATTAGTTAATAGTCTAAACTAGTCCATACACTAAAGTGTGCCCTAACAATTTATTCACAGTAATAATCTATCTGTATAATATAAATAATAAATAATAATAATAGTCTGTTAAATATTTTCAAAAGCATAAAACAATGTCATATGTTCTCTGAACTGATAATGCCCTTACAATAACTCAAAAGCTACGTGTGTATAAGAATTACAGCTACCTTTGGCATCACGCGTGTCGTATTTCACAAACAAGTTCAAGTCAATTTCCATGAGCACTTAGAGCACTACATTAAACTGTGATCTAATACTTCACCCAGCCATGATGAGACTTAATTAGCCTGGCAATAGGCAGGTGATTAGATTTGCGTCAGAACAATATTATCAGAATTTTGATGAGAAATTGAATTATGTTTTTTTTTTTCTGCCTGGCTCTGAGAAGCTATGTAATGAAAATGTATTGTAGTGGTAGTGATCTAAAGGTGATTGTGGTTTATCTTTCGGTAAGGAAGCTGGAGCTTGATATATGATAATGTAGCAGTACAGGAAGGGACATCTTCACTCTTATAATTTTGTATGACTCTGAGTATTCTTTTCTCAAAGAATGCTCCTTAAAATGTTAACATTTGTTTTTAAGCATTCAATATTGTTTGGTTTTGCCCTTAAAATTACATTTGTGTTAGTAACCTTTGTGGAAAAAATATTCAATCAGATTAATGTATGAATTTAATAAAACCAAATATTAAATTAACAAGAATAAAGAGACTAAAGTGAAGGAAAATGGATGAATGAAGGAATGAATAATAGTAATAGTTATTGTGTTCTATTTGTGTTATGCATGGTTATGTTTGTACCCCAGTAATCATGCAAATACAGTGGAAGCGCTGTCATTGAAAATATTTAAGATATACAGTTGAAGTCAGAATTATTAGCCCCCCTTTGATTTTTTTCTTTTTAAATATTTCCCAAATGATGTTTAACAGAGCAAGGGAATTTTCCCAGTATGTCCGATAAGATTTTTTTCTCTTCTGGAGAAAGTCTTATTTGTTTTATTTCATCTACAATAAAAGCAGTTTTTAATTTTTAAACGCAATTTTAGGGACAAAATTATTAGCTTCTTGTTAACCTGCCTAGTTAACCTATTGAACCTAACTATGCCTTTAAATGTCACTTTAAGCTGTATAGAAGTGTTTATTTACTGTCATCATGACATAGATAAAATCAATCACTAATTAGAAATGAGGTATTAAAACTATTATGTTTTGAAATGTTTTGAAAAAATCTTTACTCCATTAAACACAATTTGGGAAAAAAAAATAAGCAGGGGAGCTAATAAGGAGGGCTAATAATTCTGACTTCAACTCTATATAAAATATACACAGATTTTTCTTTTTTTTATTCAACTGAATATACAGTGTACCATTAAGAAATAAAGACACCATGGACATAGCTATAAAAAGTGATAACAACATAAATAGGCATCTCCATGTTTATTAATGGTAATTTATTTCCATAAGACAGTTTCTTCCCTTTAAGTGCAATGAAAAATGCTAAATATTTCAGCGTTATTATTGACAGAAAGCAAAAGATTATATACAAATACAAGTTTCTTTACATCAAAAATCACACACTACACAAAAACAACTTGCTCACAGCTATTTTATATTCCAAAAGGAAAAGTTCAGGTACCAGCTACTATATATTTGTCTCAGTATGCAAACAATATTTTTTTTGTTAATTTTCTTTTTAATTTTCTTTTTTTAGTCAATTTACTCAAGTATAATTAATCTTCTAATACTAATAACTGAAATGCATTAAAACTTTAAAACTAATGTTGAGAATGATGTTTAGCCTGTAATTTTTTACAGTAGAAACTTATTGGATGAAACTGTGATCCTTGATTCATAAAATGCAAATTTATGGCATTTTAAGAGTCCAGAAGCTTCTGATGATACATTGAGATCTTATGTTACATAATAAGTATGCAGCAAGAAACTAGCCATTATTCACAGCATTTTTTTCTATAATCCAAAACCTCTTCAAATGTTCTGGAACAGTGGTTGTGAGACAACTTTTAAGGGTTGGGGGTGGGGGATAAATAAATAAAAAATGAAGTGTAACTATACCCTTAAACTCTCTGCTTTTGTGTTTCTCTTTCTCTTTTCATTACAGCTCTTCTTTACCACCGGATTTAGACTTTCAGGCTGAGCTCCAGGAATGCCACAGCAGCAGTAGGGTCATAACATAGATGAAGACGAGAAGCAAGTAGATGCAGAAGAGCAATTTGTCTACTTTCAGACACAGCTGCACCCAGTAAGACTGTGACGTGGCCTCTGTGTCCTCCTCCTGCAGGTACAGTCTGAGAGACATCACCTCCTGTAGAATCTTCTCCAGTGGAGACTCACTGCTGGACACTTCAGTCAGAGAGAACAGGTCTGGCTCTGGAGAGAGATCAAACTCATAGCCTGAATATAAGAGACAGAAAGGACAAATATTAAAAGCACATGATGTATATCAGTATTTTACAATGATGTATTAGTTAACATTAGTTAATCTAGTAGTTAAAATAAATTAAAGATTAACAATGCATCAGTTAAGCATTACATAATCTTTGTTAGTGTTTAATTGATCTCAATCTTTGTTAACTTTAATTTGCAGTAACTAGAAAATTGAGATTCTATGAGAACTAGAGAAATTACGTTGCACTAACTAGAAAAATTAAGCTATGGGAACTAAAGAAGTTAAGTTCCAGTAACAATACAATTTAAGTTGGGGCAACTCAGAAAAGTTAAGCTACAGGAACTAGTTAAATAAAAGTTGCACTAAGTATAACAATTAAGGGTCACACTTTACAATAAGGTTCATTAGTTAATGTTAACTAATGCATTTACTAACATGAACAAACAATGAACAACACATTTACTACTGTATTTGTTTATGTTAGTTAACATTAGTTAATGAAAATACAGTAGTTCATTGTTAGTGCATGTTAACTCATGGTGCATTAACTATTGTTAACAAGCTTGGACTTGGATGTTAATAATGCATTAGTAAATGTTAAATTTTGATTAATAAATGCTGTACATGTGTTGTTCATGATTAGTTCATGTTAGTAAATGAATTAACTAATGAACCTTATTGTAAAGTGTTACCCAATTAAGCTATAGGAACTGGAGAAATTAAGTTGCACTAACCACAAACATTTACAATGGGAACAAAAGAAATTAAGTTGCAGTAACTAAAAAAATAAGTTGCTGCAATTAGAAAAATTAAGCTATGGGAACTAGAGAAATTAAGTTGCAGTAACTAGAAAATTAAAGCTGTCCTATGGGAACCAGAGAAATTAAGTTGCACTAACTAGAAAAATTAAGTTGCACTAACTTGAAAAAATTAACAATGGGAACTAAAGAAATTAAGTTGCACTAACTAGAAAAAATTAAGCTATGGGAACAAAAGAAATTAAGTTGCAGTAACTAAAAAATGAGTTGCTGCAATTAGAAAAATTAAGCTATGGGAAGTAAAGAAATTAAGCTGCAGTTACTAGAAAATGTAAACTATCCTATGGAAACCAAAAAAGTTAAGTTGCACTAACTAGAAAAATTAAGCTATGGGGACTAGAGAAATTACGTTGCACTAACTAGAAAAAGATAACAATTGGAACTAAAGAAATTAAGTTGCAGTAACTAAAAAAACTAACTTGCGGCAACCAAAAAATGAAGCTAAGGGAACTAGAGGAATTAAGTTGTAGTAACAATGAAAAAATTGGCACTAGAAAAATTAAGCCATGGGAACTAGAGAAATTAGGTTGCAGTAACTAGAGAAATTAAGTTGTGGCAACTGGAAAAATTGAGTTATGAGAACAAGAAATAAGTTGCTGCGTAAAATTTACCCATGATTGCAGAATTAGTCATATATACAATAAATAAGATGGGTTTTGGTATAATTTTAAGCATCCAGAAACCCTAAACTGATTCACTTTAGTGAGGAAAACAATATGGTTTAGCAACCAGACAAACTTTGTTAAAGGTTTAACCTTGGGTAGCTTGCTGGGGTCAAGGACCCCTTAGGTGGAGGGCAAGAGGCCTTGCATTGATGATGTTCCCTGCGGTCATTTTTAGTACAGTCAAGTAACAAACATTTTCAAAAATCTTAGGTCCCAATATTATAATGCTTAAAGTGTTATTCTCGTGATCTTCCAGTATCAGTTGCATCATTTCATTTCCATTCACCAACCCTTTCCTGTGGTCTCAAGGGATAGTAAAGTGTCTATTGGATGTGCACTTTAAACTGTGTGATTCAGAAGCTGCAGTATGATGACATATTTCTAACTAAAACAGAATATTGAGTGGGTTGCGGGGTTTTATTTTTGCACTCGCAGCAAAATAATGGCTGGAGAGGTGTGGCTAAGCATTTTTCAAGAAGCCTTCAAACTGACATCATCAGAGAAAGGCTGCCATTATAGAGCAGATACAAATGGTTCGATTTTGATTAAAGATTACTAAAACAAACAGTTTTTTTTTTAGCATTACTTACAGCATATGTTAATTCTTAACCAAATGACTAACAATGTACGCTAGTAAAATAAACATTGTAAACTTAGATATCATGCAGACTTTAACATAACATGTGGATACTTCTTACGTACTGTTTGTTTTATATTTGTTATGACTTCAGACAATCGTACTGTTTTTCATATACTGTGTAGTAGTATGAGATTTTGGACACAGACTGTTTCTATAGCAACCTGAGCTTCTTAAGAAAGCTGCAGTGACATGATGAACTCACCATTAATGATTGGCTCTTTTATTTACATGACAGGACTATTCTACCATATTACATGTGGCACTTTTAGCTACTCATAGCTAATATGAGGGCATCATCTTTGAAAATCTAAAGTTTTTGCTTAGTAACTGGAATCATGTGGTTTTAAATGACTAGTTCGAAACAAGTCATTCACAAAGGTTTTAAAGCTGTTTAAAGCAGTGATTGAAAATACATTACTATACTTTCTTGAATTGATTCTGAGCTTTTTTTGAACAGCAGATAGATTTTTTTTTGTCACAGCTCTAGTCACTATAGCCTCTTTTTTTTGGTCCAATTTCACTTGACAGCTGGCCCCTCCTCTAATGGTTTCTCACTGGTCAACAAATGTGTATGACAGGGCGTAGATACGTTCATGCTATATTGTAAATTACTGTATTCTCATATCATAATTATTCTGACAATTGAGAACCATAAGTCCTTATACAAGGGTCAGCACGGTGGCTCACTAGTTAGCACTGTCACCTTACAGCAAGAAGGTCGCTGGTTTGAGTCCCAGCTGGACCAGTTAGCATTTCTGTGTGGAGTTTACATGTGCTCCTCATGTTCATGTTAGAGTTTTCGAGTTTTCTCCGGGTGCTCCGGTTTTGCTATAGGTGTGTGTGTGAATGAGTGTGTATGTGTGTATCCCAGTACTGGGTTGTGGCTGGAAGGGCATCTTCTGCGTAAAACATATGATAGAATAGTTGACGGTACAACCCACAGTGGCGCCCCCTGATTAATAAGGGACTAAGCCGAAGAAAAATGAATGAATAAAGTCCTAATACAATTTGTATTACAATTTATTTTTATTTATTTTTATGTTTTTTAACATAGGTGAAACATTAAAATGTCGTGGCATAGCATGACTTTAGCATTATCTTTTTTAAATAAATGGATTGACCATCGAATTTGCCACGATTTTAGCATACAGAATGAAGCTTTTGTGTAATCTTTAATGATATCATAACACAAATGACACATACAGCTATTATTAGTCTAGCTATTCCTCATTTGTAAATAAATCACTGATCATCAATTAATCCTTGTCGTAATACATAGGTATAAGATTGTACCTTACATATATATTATTCAAATTTTATTAATTATTAATGCATTATATCACGGGTATTTCATTATTTAATTTTGGCATGAACCCAAAATATATTCATGAATTGAATCATTTTCTTTTCTTTTCGGCTTAGTTTCTTTATTAATTAGGGGTCGGCACAGGAGAATGAACCACCAACTCATCCAGCATATGTTTTACGCAGCGGATGCCCTTCCAGCTGCAACCTATGACTGGGAAAGACCCATAGACTCTAATTCACACACATACCTATACACTACAGACAATTTAGCTCACCCAATTCACTTATAGCGTATGTCTTTGGACTTGTGGGGGAAACCGGAGCACCCGAAGGAAACCCATGCTAACATGAGGAGAACATGCAAGCTACACACAGAAATGCCAGCTGACCCAGCCGAGGCTCGAACCAGCGACCTTCTTGCTGTAAGGCAACAGCACTACCTACTGCGCCACTGTGACACCCTCCAAAATATATTGTATTGGTTAAAGATGCAGTAGGTGATCTTCCACAATGCTAACAGCTTAGCATAAATCTCTGAATCACAGTCCCTCCCCTGCCGTCTAGAGCCACGCCTCCTGAAACACGAGCACAGCAAAAGAACACTCTCTCATGTGTTAAAAGCGACTAGTGCTTGTCCGGCGGTGAGCAAGCCAAGCTGACGTTCTATTTCAGAGTGAATATTTAGAGTTGCATGGTAAACAGTATAGGGAGACTAGGCGGAATAGCAGTATTTAATGTTGTTTTATTGTTAAACTAATTAAAATCTACATTATTGATGCTGTAAAAGGTCCCTTATGAAACTGAAAATAGTCTGATCAAACCGGAAGATTTTAGTGGCTGAACAACACTCATGTGAAGATATAACCAATTTGTAACAACAACATCTACCGTTACATCAGCTTTGCGTGAAGCTAAAATAGTTTTAAAACAGAACACTGTTTTAAAAACCTGTCTAAGAGAAATCCTTCAGCTATTGTGTCATCCTTGCTCCAGCATGCAAAGGTAAGTCCAATATTGATTCAGGTTTTTAAAAAGTTTTGATTCAGCAGGTTTTTACAGATTGCGCGCACGTGCTCTCTCTCCCTCTTTCATGAACGCGCAGCACAAACGGCGGTCGGCAGAGCTGCGTACTAAAGGCGCAGTTGTTCAAATCTGCATTTGCTGACAGACAGTTTGGCCTACTTGTTGGAATTATGAAAGATGTCGGCCCGACTATTTAATTGGATGAACATTTTTTTAGTTTTATGCACTACCCAAAATGTAAAAATACATATCAATACATTTAGATCATTTACTTTAATCATTGCTATTAGACTGTGAAGAGACTTTCAACCAGCACAACAAAAATGCTTCTGAAGACAATCACCTACTACACCTTGTAATGAATAATGATTGATTATACTATTATGTCGAAAAAAATTCATTGAATATTAGGTAAAGATCATGTGTAATGATGATATTAAAATAAAAATGTCATATTGTAAATGTATCAAAATTCATTTATTCAGTTTCCTTCAGCTTACCCACTTATTTATCAGGGGTCGCCACAGCGGAATAAACTGCCAACTATTTTGGCAAATGTTTTACGCAACAGATACACTTTCAGCCACAACCCAAAACTGGGAAACACCCACACACTCATTCACACACACACTCATACACTATGGCCAATTTAGTTTATTCAATTCACCTATAGTGCATGTCTTTGGACAGTGGGGGCAACCGGAGCACCCAGAGGAAACACAAGCAGTCATGGGGAGAACATGCAAACTCCACAAAGAAATGCCAACTGACCCAGCTGGGACTCAAACCAGCGACCTTTTTGCTATGTGACGACAGTGCTAATCACTGAGCCACTGTGCCACCCTATATCAATATTCAATTCTTGAATAGTAATAGGCATTGCTGAGAACTTCATTTGTTCAACTTTAAAGGCCATTTTCTCAATATTTGGACATTTATTGCACCTTCATATTCCAAATTTTCAAATGATTGTATCTAGACCAAATATTGTCATACCATAATAAACATGCATCAATGGAAAACCTACTTATTTAGCTTTCATGTAATGTATAAATATAAACTTGAAAAAAAATAGACTGGTTTTATTGTACAGGGTCACTTTTTGGAAAGCATAATAAAAGCATTGTTTACTTTCTCTCCTACCCCCTGATTGGTCCACTTCATCCAGCGTCTTCATGGAAGTGAATGTGCTCTCAAGGCTCTGGTCCATTGAGCCATATTTATCCAGTAGGCAAGCAGACATGGACATCTCCTTCACTTCCTTCTCACTATAATGCAACAGCTTCACCACAAAAATGGACATGGCCAAACTCAGCAGCAACAGTGCCATGCAGACGGCAAAGAAGACCCCTGTGGCAAAAACGGCAGACAGTTTTGATGAGTGAGGTGCGATTGCCGCCTGTCAAGAGTGTTGTTAATAGGTGAACACTAATTAAGAAGAGCTCTGGATGCACTGTACCAATGAGAGGTGTTTTAATGGCTGTAGCTGGGATTTCATCCATCAGGTTGACTCTGATTACAGTGTAACCCAGGAGAATGCTGGTCTTGAAGGTGATGCGAGTCCCGCTGTTTGGAGGCAGATAGAAGCTGATGACATCCACCACCATGAGGAAGATGCTCGGGATCAGTAAACCTACCACGTACAGCAGGGGGCGCCGGCGGATCAGCACCTCAAGAAGGAAACAGAAAGAGTTGGTGATGTTTACAAAAGTGTAAAATACTTACGTAATGACTTAAAATACTAATTCGTCATTAGTGTAAGTGTATTTTTTACAATTCAAACTGACTGTTTGTACTTGAGTACAATTCTTAAGAAACTACTTCTTACGACACCTTAATAAAGTGAACCACTGTATCCACTTTAAAAAAGTCTTCAACTTGTTACACAATGACCCAAAAATACATATATACGTAAATAAATAAATTTATACTGTGTTTATATATATTTAAAAACAAATATATACACAGTTTTTCAAGTGTAAGGATTATTTTTTACAGTTAATTATCTTTACATAATTGTCTTTGCATACTATAGTACTACTAGTTACATTATTTGATCTTAAGCCCAATATAAATGGCAAACAGACCATCAGACATGTGTACTTAACATCAAAGAAGATCCTAGTTTTTCTGGATATAACCCTTGTGTATACTGTTAAAATTGGCAATTTTTTTCCCCATTCACTTACATTTTGATTACATTTTCTCTTATTGCAAAGCTTTGACAGCAATTGATGTTGCATTATTTATTGTTGGTGTTTTTTTTTTTTTTTTGGAGCAGCCCAGACGCCACAATCTCAGAGCCATTGAAGTACAGCGCCAAAGCTGGACTTGGTAAGGTGTTTCCCTCCTGCGTAGCTAAGCTGAATATCAGTGAAGAGAGGGACCCCAACTTCATCATAGAAGCCCTTACAAAAAAAAGTAATGTAACGGATTTACATACACTCAAATAGTTAACAGGATGTATCTCCAGCTGATTCTCTATAGTCCTCCTGAAGCTGTATATCAGCGTCTGAATCCTCGTAAATCCTGCGAGCAACTGCATTATTTTCAAGTGAC